ATATATATATATATATTGATGCTATCCCATATTCTGCATTTTTTTGTTTTTTTTATATTGACAATCACATAACATTCACCTTAACATTATCCACTTTGTTAAAAACTAAAGTAACTTGGACAATTTTTTCAGAAAATAATGAAAAAAAAGGAAATTTGAATATATATCCTACCTCTTGTCGAGCTATCTTGCACATCTCTCGTTTCAGACTGAAATAAGAAACATTTCGTGAGATTTTTTTAAAATCTTTATAAAGTAAACCACCTACATAAAACCATGATTAGTTATAAGAAAGGACTATACTATATTGACCAGTAGTTTCCCCACTCACCTCCTAAGTTTGCTTAATGTCAATTGAATCAGTGGAAATCGTTCACGAAATTTTTCATTCAACTCCTTTTTCAGGTCAGATGGCTTAACATAATCAATTACAGATGTCTGAAAGGAATCAAAGTTGCTTGAATTAGGATAACATTAACACTATTTTCATGTTTAAACCTTATGAATAAAAATGTTATTTATTTAGCTCATGTCACATAAACAGGTCCTGTATAATATTTTATATACACTAATACTATGCCATTTTCATGAGCTTCTTAAATGGTCTTTACAGCTGTCGTTCACTTTTGAAAATACTCACTTGCATGTTATAACCAAAGTGTACACACATTTCCTTTTATTTGAATCTTAACATCAAAATTACAAAAATAGTATTTTATAAACCGGGAATGTTTAAGCAAGAGTATTTTAGTGTAACATTAAATTCTATCTTTAGTACTTTGTTTCTGTGAGGCACTTCATCTACACAATCCAAAAACAGTTTATACTAATGTCTATAATTGTTCCTCATTTTATTTATTAATTTTGAATGACATCTGTACTTAAAAACCAAAACTGACAGAAAAAAAAATGTTTATGAGCTACATCCAAAGCCTACCATTAACAGTGTTTTACCAATGGTTTGGCAATTGGAATCAGGCTGATAATTGAATAATGGGGTGTCAATCAAAATCAATAGATTTTGTCAAATTTCCTGATTACGGAAAGCCAAAGTACATTCTCTGTAGTCATTGCAATTTTTAGGGTTAAACTATCAGCAATATAACTCAATGACATCATCAACTTTACTGTACTTAATCAGAATCAGGGTGATCACGCACTATAATAACCAGCAATTGGTGTGTTCCAATTGTGACATGATCGGTAAAAATGAACCATTAATACACATCAAAGAAAATTGTACAAAATTACAAGTCTTTACATTAGCAAAATTACAATGGCTTTATACAGGGTTATAAAAGAACACAGTATAATTCAACATACCAACCCTGGCATTCTTCCAGCCTTGAAGACACCAGCTGAAGTTGTCTAACATGCTAAGTGTTGATATGTATGATAACAAAGTTTATTATAATCTTATTCTGTGTTATCAAACATTAAAAAAAACTTTGATCTACTCAGAATTTATACGAATAATACCTCATTTGCATCTGTTTTTTTTACAAAATCAATAAGACCAAAACTCTCAGCTTCTACAATAAAACTATACAATATGCAATACAACATATCTAATAAAAATACTCTGAAAAATACACCATATAGTTCATCCACTGCTAAATATTTTTTTCCATAGTAGTACATTTTTTTTTTTTTATAAACATATGTAAGACTATCATATTAAACCAACACAATTCTCAGTCCCTATAATGTAATGCTGTGTTTTGTTTCTAGACCTCATGGCCCGCAACATACACGAAAACTGCAGATGAATGTACTTTTTGTTTTGTTATTTGAGTACTTATTCAGTAGATACTTTTTTACTCTAACTTAAGTAAATTTCAGGATGGATACTTTTACTTGAACTTGAGTTACATATTTTAGTACTTTTTACACCCTGGTAACTTTATTATGACCCACAAAAAAATATCAGTAACTGGAGTTAACCTTCAAACTTCTTTGTAAACTTTCTTAATCTCTTTTGCTTTTGTTTTATATGAATAGTAAGAACAGTAAATAAAATCAAGTGATTAACTTACAATGTATGAAGGAAACGTCAACACAGTACTGTGTTTCCCAGTGACAAGTTCCGGATCATCAATAAGATTAGGATGATATGTCATCTTGGAATGAGTGGAGTGGTAATCAAGTCCTTGACTGTCTTCCCAGTCAAAAACTTTAACAAAATATTAAAATATGAATCAAATAAAACAAAGCAGAATAAGTATCCTATTTTTCAAAATTTACTATAACTAGAGCTTCATACATAGACACTACTACATGTTCATAATTTTACAAATGTAAGCAGAAAAGTTTTATCAGAATTAAGTCATACTAAAATACTGGAAAAAGCATTTACATTTTAAGTTTTAAAAAAGCAGTTTAAATAATGGATGAAAAATGTAGCAAAGCTTCATTTTAATCATTTGTTTAGATTCCAATTTAAAAACAAGTCTCATATAGAAAATTAATGTTCTACTGTAAGATATGTTAAAATGTGACATTAATAAACTTAATATATTGCATCCCTCTGTCATTATGATTGTATATTATTATTATTATTATAAAGAAAAATGCTAATATACAGATTTTTATCTTCAACCCAATATTCTTACAAGTAATGAAAAAAAATTTTGAAAAAAATAAAGATGATGTAGGGATGACAATGCCAAAAATTACAGAAATGAGATAGGGATTAATAAACAAAAACATACAAAAATCTCTACATAAGTAGCCAAATCTTTCTATAAAAACTTTTATCTACAGCTAAATGTTCAATTACCTTCAATTGCATAATTTCAGGTTTGAATCAAAGTATTTGAACTGAATAATGCTGTAAAGTCTCACAATGGCTAATTCTCATAAGCTTGTAACATTGAATCAGTGGCTACTTATGTAGGAATTTTTTTTAGTTTTGTGTATTCATCCCTACCTCATTTCTGTAATTTTTGGCATTGTCATCCCTACATCATCTTTAATTTTTTTTAAATTCTTTCCTCTCTTTTTTTAAACAATGAATGGCAGTCGCTATAAAGGCATCAGTTTTAGCCTGGCATGACGAGTTGTCTTTATGGACATCATGTGTGGGAGTTAGTGAAATGCTACACTGCTTCTGCACTCCCCAAGTTAAAATGAAACATTTCGATGTGTAAGTCACTGCAACAACTTCAAACATTGGTGAGCTACTCCTTTGTTGCCAGAATCAGAATAATCAGTAGAACATTTGGCTATTACGCTACTCACCAGTTCTCTACCTTAGCGATGTTTTTTTGACAAAACTTGAGGTCTTACTAGCTTTTGAAAAACCTCAAAAACCTAAGTTAGGTGTTAATAAGTTAGACTGTTACAAGAGAGATTTCAGACTATGATAAAAAATACATAATATGTGGTGGCAATTTTTTTCCTGGCCATCCCTACATACTAAGCACTACTGTTCTTAGTTATAAAGACCTCTGTCACTACCTATTTCTCCACTAAGTTTCTAACTATCTTCCCGAGAGCCAGGCCAGTTAAATTAAATTTTTATGCCACAGTCGTACTAATTTCAAATGTATGTGTATATATATATATATATATATATATATATATATAATAATAAATAAATATATATAGTATAATTACTATATTATATTTATTATTTATTAACTAAAGAAAATAA